GAAAACAATTACAGTCGAGCAATTCGAATTTACGATTGTATTACTTTTGAAATTGAAATGTCTAAGTGTGTATGCACGACATTTTAAAAGTAACATGTACTCACCGCATGCAGGTCAGGTCGACAAATCCAATCCCCTTTCTCTACAAACGCTGATAGAAAGTATACAAATGTTTTGTTCAAGAATATTTAAATCTAGTCTACGATTGTAAGTTTCGTATTAGTTAAATCTAATAAGCCTAATAGAAATTAAAGGGCGTTAGTCGTCACGCCACGCATGCGCGAGATATATGGGTCTCATATAAACAAAGATGGCGACGTTGCAGATCAACAAGTACAAACTGAGACGTTACCAAGATTTAATTAGGTATTTTTAGGTGATTGGAAGGTATCAAAGGAGGTAAGTCGCGCTCAGGTTAAACCTCGTACTCATGATTTCCATTAGATGAGCGCATTGGATTGTGGGAAAATAAATGTTTATCAACACAAATGTCGCACATGAGCTTTAAGCGAAGATAATCAGAAAAACAAATCTCTTACCATATTTTACAATCTTCGTTTACTACATCTCCTGGCGAGTAATACTCACAGTCCAACTCACAAAATCCTTCTGTGAAAATTTAATAAAATTGTGAGTGTCTATAATTATCAACTCTTTGAAGCGCAGGGGTCAACATGTGTCACCATTCGCAAATTCTTTTTATTTTCAAATATTTTTAAGTCCATTTGACCCAAAATTAGAAATAAATAAAAAAATATACTTTTATAGTCGCAATTGTATTATAGTCAATTCAGTTCCGGGATATAAACTTAAGCCATCCAGATCCAGGCATATAAGACGTGACTAAAGCCAATAAAAGGACAGGTTTCGACTAAGCACAGAAAAGCAAAGGTCAGCTGATATTCTCAAAACTGTTGTATCTATACTATAATTTCAATTACCTGGCGTGTATACTCCTCCAAGACATGCTGGTGCCGGGCAGCTACCGTCATCGCAACAAATATAGTTTGGCGTCGTTGATGCATGTTCATCACAAACGTCACAATTCAACCAACAGACTTGACCCAGAAATCCTTCAGGACAGGGGCATGGTCCATCTTTTTTGGAAAAAGATATAATAATGATATTTACGTGATACTAATCACATGCACTGATGTGTGCTAATATTCTTGTAATATCTATGCCATTACGAGTACACAAATGACAGTTGCTCACCGCAATGTCGTCTACACGCTTCTTCCGTCTCAAAATTATTGTTGTTTCCTTCACATCCTCCG